TGGTGCCCTCTCAAAGGTGCCAACAGTCCTATCTTTAAAATGGCTAACTAATAAAGCTGTCTGGTTAGAACAATGGCCTCTGACATCAGAAAATTACAGGCATTGGAATAGCTGGAACAGGAACAGCTAAATGCTCAACATATTGAAGAAATGACAAGTCCTTAGAATTCTCCTATATTTGTCATTAAAAAAATCTGGAAATGGAGATTGCTAACAGATTTGAGAGCCATAAATAAAGTAATTCAGCTGATGTGCTCTCTACAACTTGGAACTCCCCTGCCTTCTCTAACCTAAAAGATGGTCTATTATAGTTATTGATTTAAAGGACTGTTTCTTTACTATTCCTTTACAAGAACAGGACAAGAAAAATTTACCTTCATGGTGCCTACTTATAATAATTTTCAGCCCATTAAAATGTCTCATTAAAAAATTCTCCCACAAGGGATGTTAAACAGCCCTATTGTATGCCAGTATTTTGTACAACAGCTCTTAGAAATAATTCATGAACAATTTCCTCATTCCATAATTTATCACTATATGGATGATACCTTACTTGCTGATTCGAACCTAGATAACTTAGGAGAAATGTTTGAGGAAGTAAAGAAAATGTTGCCTTACTGAGGATTACAAATTGCTCCTGAAAATAAGACAAAGAGGAGATTCTATTAATTACCTATGATAAAAAATTGGTTTATAAAAAATTCAACTACACAAGGTACAAATCAGGAGATATTAATTGTGGACTCTTAATGACCTTCAAAAATTACTGGTAGACATTAATTGGCTATGGCCCACAATTGAATTAATAACTCAAGAACTACGTAATTTATTTCAAACCTTACAAAGTGACCAGGACTTAAATTGTCCAAGAAAATTATCAGCTGAATCTGAAAAAAATTTGGCTCTAGTAGAGAAAAAAATTCCAAGATGCACATGTGGATCGCTTGGATCAGAACTTGATTATATCCTAGGTATTCTACCTTCTACCCATTCTCCTACTGGAATTCTTGTGCAGAGAGAAGATAATGATCTGGAATGGATATTTTTTGCCACATAAACAGAACAAAAAATTAAAGACTTAATGTAGAAAAGTTTTCTGAACTGATTCTAAAAGGAAAATTGAGATTTTTGTCAGTTGACAGGGATGGGCCCAACAGAAATTATAGTACCTTTTACTAATGCTGAAATTTCCTCTTTATTGACAGAAAATGAACATTGGCTAAGAGCTTGTAGTAACTTTTTGGGAGAGATCAACAACTAATATCCCAAAAGCAAGAGACTTGAATTCATAAAAAGAACCGATCGGGTCCTTCCTCATATTGTACAGGGGACACCAATATGTGGAGCCCCTACATTCTATACTGATGCAAATAAATCAGGAAAGGCAGGTTATAAATCAGGAAATTTGAATAAAGTGGCTTAAAGTCCTTATGATTCTGTTCAAAGGTCATAATTATATGCTATTCTTATGGTATTATTAGGTTTTTCAGAACTTCTTTTATTTGTTTATTTTTGGTTTTTGGAGACAGGGTTTCTCTATGTAGCTTTGCTCCTTTCCTGGAACTCACTCTGTAGCCCAGGATGGCCTCGAACTCACAGAGATCCACCTGCCTCTGCCTCCTGAGTGCTGGTATTAAAGGCGTGTGCCACCACTGCCCGGCCAGAACTTCTTAATATGGTTACTTACTCTTAATATGCAGAAAGAGCTGTTTTACATATGAAACTGCTGAACTTATTCTTTTTTTTCATTTTTAAATTTATTTATTAAATTTAATTTTACATATCAGCCACAGATTCCATTGTTCTCTCCCTTCCCACCCCACCCCACCCCCCGATATATTCCCACTTTTTTATTGTTTAAAAATAATTAATTTATTTTTCTATTATCATCTTGATAGAGTATGTATTCTTATCTTAATAGTGAGATGTTTCATTGAGGCTTGCTCAGTAATTGAGTAAAACCCAAAACCCAAATTTATTATAAGCCACAGTCGTCCTAGGAACCTCCATGCTATATTTATAGCCTCCATGGTTCTATGGGTTGTAGTCTGATTGTTCTTTATTTT